AAAAAAGAAACTGGGGAGCAAAAGAGGCTTTGGAAATAGCTTCCCTAATGACTAGCTTTCCATCCCAAATTTTAGAAAAAAAGAAAATTACAGGCTGTAACAGGTTCAACCTGGAAGCAGGATTTGCCATCCATTTAAATAACAGGCCTCTGAAAACCCTATGAACAGTAGAGGAACGTAGATAGTTATAGTAACAGTGGTGGATCCAGATTAGAGTTCATTCAAAATGAGGAAAAATAATGGCAAACATCCCATAATAATTGGAACATGGAACACTGTAGCTTGAATGTTGGAAAACTAAAAATTGTGAAAAATGAAATTGAACTCATAAACATTGACATACTAGGTATTAGTGAGGTGAGATGGACTAACTTTGATCCATTTGAATCAGGTAATCACGTGATATACTATGCTGGAAATTAAAAACAGAAGAAGGATGGCATTGTATTCATAGTCTAAAAGTCAATTTCAAGTTCTATCTTGAAATACAGTGCTGTGGGTGATAGGATATTGTCTAAGTAGGAGAAAATGCTACATGGAGGCACAGGGTCATAAGTGTCTCTCTGAAAGGGCCAGAGAGAATAAGAATAGCACAGCCCCTCACTGCTCAGAGCAGAAAGCAGATAAAGAACCCATAGCCCAGCCTCATGGTGCTTCTAGATCCACACCAATAAATAGCAAGAGGTTCATTTATACATTGTTGATTCCTAAACTCACAGTTGTGGTCCTGAGAATGGGGTTTATGGGGCAAGTAAGGTCGAGAGTGGGAAGGCAAAGAATATCACCCAATGCAAACCCAGGTTTTAGCCCAACAGTCCCAAGGCACAATTCCTCAATTAGTTCAGGATCTGGTTTTAGTTCAGCAGTCAAATCAAAATTATCCAGCAAAGTCTGCCTCAGAGCAGTTATAATTCCGTTTCTCCTTCAAGCATCCAGCAAGAACAGCAAAAACTTTTAACGGCGGTCTTTATCTCAGGGCTCCTCTGCTTACACTTTGCTACAGTTTCTCCTCAGCAATGACACAGTCTCTCCATCACCATCACCAGGGTCTCACCAGCAGGGGCTCCCTCAAGACTCGCTGTCACAACCCTTGCTCACCTCAAGTCTTGCTGCCCCATGTGTGAAAATCCACTCTTTCTCTTATCCTAGTCCCATACTTGTTGATGATTTGCAAGACCATGTGCCTGCAGTTAAGGTAGCTGGAAGCCAGAGTGGGTAAACTGTAATGGTCATAAAAAAATCAACTTTTAGGCTAATGCCACAGATTTTATCCGTATGCATACAAGGAAGACCTACTAACATGACTATTATTCAAATATACCCTCTTGACTAGGTAGCATTATGCTGAGTGAACTAACTCAGTCACATAAGGATAAATATTGTAGAAAACAGTTATTGTAGAATGAGTATAAAGATCCAGGAAGGGTGGAAGAGTCTGGAAACAGATGTGGATGTGCAGGGGGAAGGAGGGATTAATCATTGGGTTGTACAATTTGATGACGGGGTGAGGGAAATTGAAAGAATTTGTTCAAATTTGTATTTGAATTTTGTAAATAAACTAGTAGGAAAAATGTAACTAAACAAAACCCCAAAACAAATATACCCTCCTACATCTAGATCCAAAGAGGAAGAAATTGAAAATTTGTACTAAATCTTGCAGTCAGTAATTGAGCATACATGCAATTAAGATGCATTAATGATAATTGGTGACTGGAATGCAAAAGTTGGAAACAGTGAAGAAGGAATAGTAGTTGGAAAATATGGGCTTGGTGATAGAAATATAGCTGGAAATAGAATGATCAAATTTTGTAGTTTCAATAATTTATTCATTGAAAATATCTTTTAAAGACTCAGTAAATTTACATATGGACCTCACCTATGATGGACGGCATAGGGATCAGATTGACTACATGTGTGGAAGGATCATTGGAGAATCTCAATATCAGCAGTCAAAACTAGGCCAAGGACAGACTGTGAGTCAGACCATCAATGGCTCATGTGCTAGTTCAAATTGAGGCCAAAGAAAATGAAAACAAGTACAAGAGATCCAAAATATCATTTTGAATCTATTCTATCTGAATTTCAAAATAATCTTAAGAATAAGTTTGAAGCATTGAACACCAAAGGTTGGGGACCAAATGAGTTGTGGAATGATATCAAGGATACCATCAATAAAGACAGCAAATAATTCATTACAAAGACAGAAGAAAAAGAAAAAACCAAAATGGATGTCAGGAGAGACTCTGAAAATTGCCCTAGAGTATCAAGAAGCAAAACAAAGGAGAAACAAATAAAAATGCTGAACAGAATATTTCAAAGCATAGCTTAAGAAGACAAAGTATTGTAATGGCATGTGCAGAGAACTGGAATTGGACAATAATAAGGAAAGAACTTGTGGAGAGAACAGAATAAATATATTTATTGGGCAATAAATATATCAAATGACCCAGGAAGCTTTTAAAGAAGACGGAGGGAGGGAGGGAGAGCATAGTCACTGTACCAAAAAAGAATGGGCAGACACTGAAAAATTTCAGTAAGTACCATATGAGCAGGAACCAATGGTAAATGGAGAAGGTAGAAGCTGTATTGATGGCATTGGCAAAAAATAAGGTCCCAGAATTGATGGGCTACCAATTACCTTGTTTCTAACAACAGATGCAGCCCTGAATGTGCTAGCCAGTCTATGCCAGCAAATTTGGAGGACAGCTGTTAGGCCAACACATTAGAAGAGGTTCATATTTATTCCCATTCCCAAGAAAGGTGACAAAAAAATGTGGAAATTATCAAACAATATCATTAGTATCACACACAAGCAAAGTACTGCTGAAGATCATTCAAAAATGGCTAGAATAGTACATAGATAGAAAACTGCCAGAAGGTCAAGAAGGATTTAGAAGAGACCGTGGCACCAGGGATATCATTGCTGCTGTCAGATGGATCCTGGTCGAAAGTAAAGAATACCAGAAGAATGTCTAGTTATGCTTTATTGACTATGCAAACACATTTGACTGTGTGGATCATAACAAGTTATGGCTAACACTTAGAGGAATGGTAATTCCAGAGCACTTAATTGTACTCATTAGAAATCTATACCTAGACCAGGAGGCTGTTGTGAGAACAGAGCAAGGGAACACCACATGGTTTAAAATTAAGAAGGGAGTGCATCAGGATTGTATTTTCTCTCCACACCTGTTCAATCTGTATGCTGAACAATGGGCTCAACCATAACAATGACTGATTAGACAGAGTTGTTTTCTTTTGACACTGTGAATTGAAACAAACTTGATTGTCCCTAACAACATAGCGGTGGTTAGTATGTTATTGTTGCTGTTATGTGCTGTCAATTGGCTTGTGATTTATAACGACCCTATGTACAACAGCCCTAAAACCTGCTCTATCCTGTGCCAATCGCAGTGCCTCTGACACACCCATCCCGATTACCTGAGTCACTGAATCAATCCACCCCATAGACGGTCTTTCCCTATGTCATCCCTCCACCCTCCCAAGCATGATGCCCCTCTCCAAGGACCTGTCCCTCCTTACAACATGTCCAAAGTATGTCAGACGAAACCTCAGAATCCTTGCCTCCAAGGAGCTACCTGGTTTAACCCTCCCCAGGATGAATCACTATGGGAAGATATCAAGAGCATCATTCAAGGCTGCATAGTGGAGTGGACCTTGAGGGAGGGATTGTAAAACAATCGTGGAACTTTTCTTTTACTTTTCAAAAAGAAGAGTGTACTGGGGGGAGGGGTGGGCAGGGAGAAAAGTGAAACAATGAATAAATGGAAATTCAAAGTCTCTGTAAATTTTCATTAAAAGTAATTAAAAAATGATAAAAAAGAAAGACAAATACTCTAAAAAAAGAATAATATTGTTCATGAAGAATGCATAAAGTCATTACGAAGAAGGAAGAAGACCAAAATGGATATCAGAAGAGACTGAATATTGTACTAGAGCACTGAGAAGCCAAAACAGAGGGAAGACATTGAGAAGTTAAAGCGATAAATGGATGCTTTCAAAGCGCTGCTAAGAAAGACAAGGCAAAATATTTTAATGAAATGTGCAAGGACCTGAAGTGGGAAAATCAAAAGGCATGCACTTGCTCAGCATTTCTTAAGCTGAGAGAAGTAACGAATAAATTCAAGCCACAAGTTGCAATGCTTATGGACACTAGGGTAGAATACTGAATAATTCAGGAAGCATTAAAGGAAGATGGAAGGAGTATACAGAGTCATTGTACAAAAAACATTTGTCCCAAACTGTCCTAATTATCCCAGTACCAGACAATGGCCAGAGAAGAGTAATGAAATGTCAGTATCATACATAAAAGCTACCACTTTAAGCACCTACTGGCATAATAAGTGCCTGCAGCTGCCGATAGGGTCGTTCCAGGCACCCCCAGCAGAACTCTCCCCAGCACGGAAGCCAGCACCACCTCCCCATGGACTTGGCTCCCTTACTGTGCATTAGTTGGGACCCTTACACATATCCCCAAGCTCTACCTTGTATATGCTTTTACTCCTGCTGTCGGTGAGATCCAGGTGGATGGAGATGTAATCAATGTTGGGGGAAGGGGGATCCAGGTGTTGATAGCGTAGGCCCATCAGCAGGAACTCCTCACAGCTCACCTGGAGACTTCCTACTTTCTTCAGTCCTATGGTGCAGCTTCCACCTGGACACCTCAGTTCAGTTCCCAATTCTAGAATGTAGAGCATTGGATTAAGACCGTCACTGGAAGATAAAGATTGTAAATCTTAAAAACAGAGCCTCCTTCTCATGCATACTTGTCTCTCCATCCCAAGAAAACTCATGTCTCCTCCAATTATTCATGGAGTGGTTGTCATCATTCTAAAAGCTAAAACTATGTTTACTAGAAAAAGAAAAGTTGGCCAATTGTCTCACCAAGGTCTTGACAAAAAGTTACATTCAGGAAAAAAATCACTTGTGTTTTCTGCTGCTTGGACATTGCTGGCAAACAGGCCGATGGTCCCTAAGGGCTGCTACAGTTAAGCTCTGAGCTTCCCATGTCATCACCCCACAATCTCTACTAGACTGTACTCTCTACTCTACTCAAGGAAATTCTCTCCCCATGCTGCTCATCACACACTCAAATCCTGCATGTCAAGTTTAACAGGACGGGAAGTAATAAATGTTGGAGAGGATGTGGTGAGATAGGAACTCATATTTTGTTGGTAGAATTGTAAAATGGTACAACCACTCTGGAAGGCAGTTTGGCACTTCCTCAGAAAGCTGAATGTAGAAATTCCATAAGACCCAGCTATTCCACTGCTTGGAATGTACCCTGAGAAAATAAGAACTGAGGCACAAACTGAGATTTGTACACCAATGTTCATAACAGCATTATTCACCATTGCAAGAACATGGAAATAGCCCAGATGTACAACTACAGTTGAATGGACTGACTGAGAACATTCACACTTTGGAATACTAGGCAGCACACAAAAGTAATGATTTTGTAAATTTCTCTCTAACTTGGGAGGGACTGGAAAGCATTATGCTCAGTGAACGCAGTCCACATAAGGACAAATACTGTATAGACCAACATTATGAGATCTCTGGGTTATAGGCGAGGAGCAGAGGGGTGAGAATAAGCAGGGGGTGGTGTGGTTAATCACAGGGTCACACAATTTGATGAGTGGTGGGGGGAGTGGGTGAACTGGTAAAGATCGAGTGTTGTTGTTGCTGTTATGTGCCGTTGAGTCACTTGCAACTCATAGCGACCCTCTGTACAACAGCCTTAAACTCCGCTCTGTCCTGTGCCAGTCTCTCTGCCTCTGACACACCCATCCCGATTACCCCAGTCACTGAATCAATCCATCTCATAGAGGGCCTTCCCCTCCTGCGCTGTCCCTCCACCCTCCCAAGCATGATGTCCTTCTCCAAGGACTGGTCCCTCCTTACAAATGACCAAAGTACATCAGACGAAGCCTCAGAATCTTTGCCTCTAAGGAGCAGCCTGGTTTAACCCTCTCCAGGTTGAATCCATTTTGTACATAGGGTTTTCAGAGGCCTGTTATTTCGGAAGTGGATGGCCAATCCTTCTTCCTAAAAGATCAAGTGTGAAAAAACAATATATGCGAGCTTTTAAGTAAACCAGCATATAATAATTTAATTTTTTTTAAAGCCTGCATGTCCTTCCAGGCCCAATTTTTTTTTTTTTTATCATCTGAGCCAGTCTGCAAGGAGCCAGGTAGCACAGTGACTGCTAACCAAAGGGTCCTGGGTTCAAATCCACAGCCTCTCTGCAGGAGCAAGGTGAGGCAATCTGCTTCTGCAAAGGTGTGTAGCCTTGAAATCCACAAGGAGTTCTACCTGTACTTCAGGGTTTCTGTGAGTCAGATCCAATTCAAGGACAGCGGGCAGGTGGCGAAACCTGCTGTCTCCCTTCCACTGGCAGCCATCGTTTTCTTCCTAATGGCCTTCACTTCTCTAGCCAACCATCCTTTTCATCCTTAAGAATATATGATGCTCACAGGACACTTACTCAGTAAGTCTCATTTCCCGGATGTACAAAATGGATATTCTATTTCTTAAATAGCTGGTTATGAAAACCAAACAAGATGATTTATGTGCAAGTGTGTGTTTAGCCGTAAATAAAACCCACATTATTATAACTACAATTGTCCCATACACTCTTGGTCCATCCCATAGTCACTGGAACACCATTATGCATATGTGATTGTTGTATGTTGCCAAATCAGCTCCAGCTCCTCTCAACCCTACAGGCCCAAGGAGAACTACCATCCAGCATTTTCAGGACTGCTCTATCACAGAAGCAGTTTTCTAAGCTATTCTTCCATGCTCGTTGTGCTTGAACCACTAACTTTCAGGTTTGAAGCTGAGACGCTATTTGTTTGAAGCTGGACAAGCGATCTGTCCAGGGTCCTTTTATTGTACTGTTGTTGTGTGCCATTGAGTCAATTCTGAGTCATAGCAACCCTATAGATCAGACTAGAAATGACCTATGGGGTTTCCTAGACTGCAATCATTATGGGAACAGATCACCAAGTCTTTTCTGCCATGAAATCTCTGGTTAAGTTTGAACCACTGACCTTTGACTTAGCAGCTACTGCTTTACCACTGGGTTACCAAGCCTCCTCACTAATAAGAGCTAACAATCATTGAGCCCTTAGAGTGTGAGGCACACATCAAGCTAAACACTTGGTAGGCATGATCTCATTTACCGCCACCCTCGTAACAACCCTCCGGAGAGCCCCTTGCCTAGTCCACAGAAACTTAGGCAGGTTCAAGACCTAATCTGCTAACAGCAGAGCTCATTTTACCCCTCTGATTCCAGAGTTTATGCCCTTAACCATCAGATTACATTTTTCAACCAGCTAAAGGTCATATATGTTAGCTAGATAACAGAATCTCTTTGGACTGGTGGAAGAAGGCCACAGACAGTCACATTTTTGCATTTTGTAGCATTTAGATAATTATGAAAATATCTTACGGGATTCAGGGAAAAAGCTGTGTGGCTCATCTCCACGAGGTCCTTCTGGCCTGGGTTCCACCAGGACCATCTGGCCGTGGGCAGGCAGCCAGGTTCCCACGGGGGCCAGCCGGACAGTACACTCCAGGTTGGCCACCCCACCATAATCAAAGCTGAGCACATTCTTATCAATTGCCCGAGACAGGCCGTAGAACTCAGACACCTCCAGCACATTGTTGCTCATCCGGATGATGTTACAGTCTGGTTCCAACAGATAGACCCGCAGGATAAAGGTCTCCGTGAAGGTGTCTGTTTCAGTAAATCTGTGGAGAAGATAGAGCAAAGCAATGTCCACTGGTGCTTTGATACTTCTGATGTTTGTGTACCTGGCTTAAGCGTAAAGAGAGGCCTTCACCAAATCCTTCTCTTGGGTAGAGTCTGAATTTTGTTTCACACTCCCTCCTCTCTGCTCTTTGCACTTCTCTTACTGACAACTCCTTTTCTCTGCCACCTCTTGCTTCAGTCATTTTTCTTTCAGCACCTGCTCTGAAATCCATTATCTGTATGGATAATTAATGACTGTTAAGAGCACAGCATCCCACTTGTGCAAGATTCTGAATGCATGTGTAATTTAATAGGCTCAAGCTGTATAATTAATGGCTTGCACTTTAGTTCTGGGGTGAAAGGATGGAGGGTTTTTCCGAAGCATCAGCACCCTTTTACTTCTCAGGAATACCGCTTCCTGGGTGGTCATTTACAGCCTTGGTCGGGTGCACTGCTCTGTGCTTGGCACAAAAAGGGGATTTATCACCTGTTATTCCCCATACAGCAATCTGGGCTATTTTCAGATATTAGAGTTGATGTGTCATTCTTTTTGAGAACAGAAAGCTAATGAACAGTGAGTGTGTATCAATAATATGCCCCCAACTGATGCATTTTTATAGGAGTCAGACATAAGGCTAATTTTCCAGAAAGAATCTCTCATTGAGTATCTAATTAAGTCCTTATGAAAACCTATGAGAAACATGTTTAGTCCCACTTTACAGAAGAAAAAACGGAGGTATAAAAATGTTAAGTTACTTGCCAAAGAGTCTGGAAAGGCACTTAAAAAGGAAATATACTTGGTTTCTGAGCATCTGTCTCCAATTCCTATTCACCCATCTTAATAACTGTCTATTATCCATTAGTTTATTTATTACTCTCATCTTTCTCCAGCACCCGCCTTAGAAACCATATGAGAATGATTGTGTGCATTTTATATGTAAACATTTTTTTGCCTTTTTTTTTTTTTGTAACAGTCACAAATGGACTATGTATAAGAGCACTCGCTGATTTCTGTGGAAGTAGATGAAGATTTTCTTCCTAGTGTATCAGTCACAAACAACATATAAGAGCGCTGGCTGATTTCTGTGGAAGTTGATGGCTACTTTCTTCCTAGTGTATCAGTCACAAACAACATATAAGAGCGCTGGCTGATTTCTGTGGAAGTAGATGAGGATTTTCTTCCTACTGTATCTTATTCTGGAAGGTCAACTGAAGCCTGTTCAGCATCATCTCAATATTAAAGCCCCCACTCATCACCGGATGGTGGCTGCATTTGAGATGCCTTGAGTGGGACCCAAACTGCTACTGCTTTCTGTGCCACTGACTAGTGTTTGGTAGATCCCCTTAATTAAAACAGGCTTGGAAGCAGGAGTGGCATCCACTTCCGAAACAGCTTGCCTCCAGAAACTCTATGAATTTAGAGAAAAGATGAAAGTTTTTTGTTTTCAAGACTTTCATTCATAGAGTTGCTATGAGCCATCTACAACTCAACGGCACTTAACAACAACTCTGAATAAAAGTGAGGATTTGATGGCCTGAGAGATCATACAAGACCTATACAAGAAGGCAGATTAATGTTAATAACTCTCCAGAGAAACACTGCAGAGAAGGTGATGCAAATTTAGATCATTAAAAATTGCCTGTACAATTGGCAAGTTTATTTGGAGAGGAAAGAGACCTCAAATAAGCAAAGCACTTCTGAAAAACAAGAATGAAGTGGGAGGCATAGCACTTCCTGATCTCAAAAATTACTACACAGATGTAATAAACAAAACAGCATGGTGCTGGTACAGTGATAGGCACAAAGACCAAAGGAATAGATAGATTAATTATTTGGATTCTCAATTCTGTCTATGGTCAGCTAATATTTGACAAGAAAACAAAACCTACCAAATGGGGAAATAACCACCTCTTCAACAAATGGTGCTGGCAAAACTGGACTGCTACCTGTAGAAAGCTGAAGCAGGACACACACCTCTCACCATATCAGAGACCCAGGGGAAAAGCCCCAAAACATAAAGATGATAAGAGATAAATTAGGACCAAGAGTTCATGGTATGAAAAGGCTGGCAAATAGCCAGAAGTACACAGCAGGATAAAGATCAACATAAAAAAAATCAACTGGTTTTCTCTACAGTGACAAAGAGAAAATAGAACTGGAGGTAAGAAAAAGAATACCTTCACAATAGCTAATCACACAATTAAATACTTGGGAGTAGATCTAACCAGAAGCACAAAGGATCTATTTGATGAAAATTACAAAACATTACTATAAGATACAAAAAGAGACCTGAGAAGTAGAAGAATATAGCTTGCTCATGGATAAAAGACTCAATATTGTGAAAATGGCAGTATTAGCAAAGGCAATTTACATGTTCAATGCAATATCAATACAAATACCAATTCCATTCTTCAAAGAGATGGAAAAGGCAATCTCCAATTTCATTTGGAATGGAAAGAGGCCCAGAATAAACAAAGCACTCTTTAAAAAGAGAAACAAGGTAGGAGGTATCTCACTCCCTAATTTCAAATCCTACTATACTGCTGGGGTGGTTAAGACAGCATGGTACTGGTACAATGACAGACACACAGATCAATGGAATAGAATTGAGAACCCAGAAATCAGCTCTTCTATCTATGGTCAACTGATTTTTTACAAGGAGATGAAATCAGTTAAGTGGGGAAATGATAGCCTTTTTAATAAATGGTGTTGGCAAAATTGGAAAACCTTTTGTAGAAAACTCAAGCAAGATCCACACCTCACTCCATACACAAAAGACAACTCAAAGTGGATCAAGGACCTAGGACTAAAACCAAGGACGATAAAGTTCATTAGAGAAAAGGTTGGAAGAACTCCAGAAGTCCTAATCCACAACATAAACAGTCTTCCAAGCATCCTGAAAAAACCTACAACCAGGAGAGAATAAAATAGATGAATGGGACCTTCTAAGAATCAAATCCCTATGCACATATTCAAATTCTGCTCCAACAGAGTAAAAAGGGAAGCCACAGATTGGAAAATTTATTTGGTAATGACATGTCAGATAAGGGACTTTTATCTAGAATTTATAAAATACTCGAGCACCGCAACAAGATAAACAACCCAGTTGAAAAATGGGCACAAGATATGAACAGACACTTCACCAAAGAAGACATTCAGATAGCCAACAAACATGTGAAGAAATGTTCAAAATCCCTAGCTCTAAGAGAGATGCAGATCAAAACAACTAAGAGATATCACCTCACCTCAGTAAGAATAGCAAAATTTAACAGAACAGCAAACAACAAATGCTGGAAAGGTTGCGGAGAAACTGGAACCCTGATTTACTATTGGTGAGAGAGTAAAATAGTGCAACCATTATGGAAGGCTGTATGGCGCTTTCTCAAAAAGTTGCAAATAGAAATACCATTTGACTCAGCAATTCCCTACTGGGAATATGCCCTAGAGAAACCAGAACTGTCACTCAGGCAGATATATGCACATTCAAGTTTAATGCAGCTTTGTTCACAATAGCAAAGAGTTAGAAACAACCCAAGTTCCCATCAACAAACGAATGGTTAGAGACACTGTGGTATATTCACACAATGGAATACTATGAAAAACATGGAACTCATGAAATATTATACAAAATGTGTGACCCTGGAGGACATTATGCTCAGTGAAATCTCTCAGTTACAAAAGGACAAATACTGCATAGTGCCACTGTTGTAAAGCAGGACTGGCATCAGGGTTAGAGGGAAACTAAGAGGGGATAAATAATGTAGACTGCATTGAAACAGATGAGGAAGAGAACTATTTGAAAGGAATATATGATTAGGCATTATTGTCAGGACAAGAGTCCAGAATGAAAGCTGCATAGTGAAGTGGGCTGCTGG